ATATAAGTATTTTTGTTATACTACAATAGAGAAAGAAAAAAATTGAGATACAGTGAACCCTCACTATAACGCGGTTCTCCTTTCACGGTCTCGCTGCTTCACAGATTTGCATCATGCATTGTGTTCTACATTCTGATTGGCTAAACAGTCTCTCCAGTACAGTAGTTATTTGTAAAAAATGTTTATACAGTACTTTTATTTGTTAAACAAATGCTTGGGTCTGTAAAAAGGTTTTGTTCTTTGGTTTGAATGTATTATGGAGTATTTCATTGTATAATAATTGTAAAAAAAAAATAAAGGTTACCACTTCACGGATTTCGTCTATCACGGGTTCTTTTTGGAACGTAACCCCAGTGAAAAACGAGGGTTCACTGTATATATTGTATATTGCCATGTATCTTAAAATATTGCAATGTTAATTTTGGGCCATATCGTCCAGCCCTAGCTGACAGCTCTCACAGAACTACAGGAGACAGGAGACAGGAGACAGGAGACAGGCGACAGCTAGCAGAGGGAAGTGAGACAGGAGGCTATGGGTGTTTGTGGTGCAGTTTCAGTCTAAAAAGTCCAAGACTCTGGGCTTACACAGGATGTTCTGGAGGTAAAATGACAGAACTTACAGTGTCTGAGCTCTTGAAGTAGATTCTGTAGTTGGTGATCAACACTTTGCCCTTCACAGCACCGCTGAATGGACAGATGTAAATGATGTCCTTATCTGGAAACGGACAAAAGACATCAACAATGTGATACTAACAGTCCATTCACAGAGATGTGAGAGGAGATTCATTTCAAGCAGGGATGAATAAAACATTAATTTGCTGATCCAGACCAAGGTTCAACACCAGAACACACTGGTTCCAACAGAAGGATGTTGTGATGAAACATTGCTTACCTGTGATTCTTTCCTCTCCAGGCAGAAGAGACACATCAGCTAAAAACTCCATGTGCAGAGAGTCTCGGAGCGTCTGAAAACACACCACAGGTGGAGCAGTCTAAAGACGTTCATTTAGAGCACCTCATCTGACAAACACAAGGAATGCAAGTCACCCGCCGTCTGGGTATGGCATACTGTCTTAATCAGTCTTACAAGAGTTATAGCTATTTATAGGTCTGATGTGATGGTCTGTGGCAGCCATTTTGGGCTGGTTTGACTCTAAAAGGTAATTAGTTGTATATTTAAATCCAATAATTAAAAATGTTAAACTATGTAATTTTTGCCAGAATGTAAACAGGTGCTTGCCAACACATCAACACAGATCAGATCTTATTACTGCATTTTTTAAGGCCATAATAAATGTGACATAAAAGAATGTGATTTCAGAAAACACTGGAGAGAATGAACATACGCTGGATATGCGTGAGTCCAAAGTGATGGAGTTGTAGGCTTTGATGGGTGAGGCCATCACATCAAAGACATCCACATCAAGACACACACTGTTAGGACAAGGTACACAAAGCAAGTTACACACTTCTACACACTCTGAATGCTTCTCTTCATGTACAAAATTTTACTCTGAACAACACAACTCACTGCACACAGAAGATGCACTTCACAGAGTAACACTTGAGAAAAAGATCATTTAAATTTTATTTTGTGACAAATTTATAATCTGAATTAAACATTTCAATCTTCAAAACAAAGGATTCTAAAACTGTTTCAATTCACTGAAATAGAAAAAAACTGCCTCAAGATTAAACTTATACATCAATTTTCCAAAATACTGAAACTTAATGATCAGGGGTGCAGATATGCTGGTGAAGATTCTCAGTCATCCAGAACATGATAAATTCAAAAAACGTTCAATACAAAAACAACTGGACTTTATTTGTAACAGAAGACGTTTCGCAGCTTTCTCAATTCAATGAGAAGTAAGTGAGAGATTCAGGTTATAAGGCTGAGTGAGATAAGACGCACGCATATCTAGATTTGACAAGTCACACCTAAACACCTTAACAGTAGGGGCTTCTTAAAGTCTTTGTTACTCTAATTCACAGATGAGGCCCCTCTGTTCCCAT